TGCTGCAGCTGCGGCAGCGTTTGCTGCTGCTGGAGACATCGGAGCAGCAGCAGCAGCAGCAGCAGCAGCAGCAACTGCTACAGATAGATGGTATTTCTCTGCCTGTTGCTAGGCTGCTGCAGCAGCATCTCAATGTACATACACCGCAGCAGCTTGCTGCTGTACCCACACAAAAGCTGCTGCGGCTGCTGGCAGCACAGCTCCGCTGCTCCCCGCTGCAGCAGCTCGTGCTGCATGCGAACGCAGCAGCAGCAGAACTAACAAAAAAAATAATCAAAGGATTGAAAAAATACTGCAGGAAGAGGGTCAGCAATATGCTGCTGCTGCTGCTGCTGCTGTTGCTGTTGCTGCTGCTGCTGCTGCTGTTGCTGCTGCTGCTGCTGCTGTTGCTGCTGCTGTTGCTGTTGCTGTTGCTGCTGCTGCTGCTGCTGCTGTTGCTGCTGCTGGTGTTGTTGATGTTGTTGTTGGTAGTGTTGCTGCTGCGGATGTTGCTGTTGTTGTTGCTGCTGCTGCTGCTGTTGCTGCTGCTGGTGTTGCTGATGTTGTTGTTGGTAGTGTTGCTGCTGCGGGTGTTGCTGCTGCTGTTACTGCTGCTGCTGCTGCTGCTGACCTTGCTGTTTACTTAGCTGCTGTTGCTGCTGCTGATTTTGGTTTTGAGTTGCTGCTGCTGCTGTTGCTGCGCGTGCTGCTGCTGCTGTTGCTGATGATGTTTCTGCTGATGTTGCTGCTGCTCCCGCTGCTGCTCCTGCTGCTGCTGTTGTTGTTGCTGCTGCTGCTGAAGATGAGAATGGTGCTGCTCTTGTTGCTGCTGATGTTGCTTCTGCAGCTGCTGTTGCTGCTGTTGTTGCTGTTGCTGCTGTTGCTGCTGCTGCTTCCGTTACTGCTGCTGATGAAGCTCTGGCTGCTGCTTTGCTTCTGTTGCTGCTGCTGCTGCCGGTGATACTTTTGCTGCTGCTGTTGCTGCTGGATTTTTCTTTGACGTCTTTGCTGCTGCTTCTGATGCTGTTGCTGCTGCTGCTGCAGGCGCGAAAGCCGCAGAAGACCTTGAAGAAGCTGGAGCAGCAGCAGCAGCAACTGCAGCACCAGCAACTGCAGCACCAGCAACTGCAGCAGCAACAACCGCAGCAGCAACAGCTGCAGCAGCAACAACTGCAGCAGCAACAGCTGCAGCACCAGGAACTGCAGCAGCAACAACTGCAGCAGCAACAACTGCAGCAACAGCAACTGCGGCAGCAACAACTGCAGCACCTACAGCTGCAGCAGGAACAACTGCAGCAGCAGCAGCTGCAGCAGCAGCAACTGCAGCAACAACAACTACGTCAACAACAGCTGCAGCAACAGCAACTGCGGCAGCAACAGCTGCAGCACCAACAGCTGCAGCAGCAGCAACAACAGGAGCAACACCTGCAGCAGCAACAGCAACAACAGCAGCAGCAGCAGCATCCTCAGCAAGCGCAGCAGCAACAGCAGGAGCAACAACTGCAGCAGCAGCAAACAGCACGGGAGCAGCAGAAAGTGCAGCTGCGGCTGCAGCAGGATGCTTACGGCAGGCAGCAGCGGCTGTTGCTGCTGCAGCAGCACCAGCAACAGCAAACGCAGCAGAAGGAAACCCAAGGCAGCTATGGGCGGTTGCTGCAGCAGCAGCAGGATCAGAGCAAGCA